ATGATGTTATGGGGAATGCTTTGAGATGCGATCTCTTCCCTAGGCCCTCCAGTGACCTTCCAAACTACTTCCCTCCCACCTACCTCCAAAACCAGAGATGAGAAATCTGTACCCCCCTCAAAAATATTGTTGGACTGCATTTCCCATAATCCCCCATCACAGGCCATGATGAAAGTTTCAGCAACATTTGGGGACCTCTAAACCCTCCTTCCTCCTTCCTTCCACCTAAGCTGTTTGCCTAGCTTGCTCGTCCAATGACAGTAGCAGAAAGGAGGTCTCTTCCCTTCTTTACAATGTTGGGCTTGTTTCTATGGCTGTAAAGAACTCTGGGAATTTGAGTTTCCCCAGAGCTACTGACAGGGAGGAAGAACAAAGTTTTCTTTGGCTCAGATAGAAATCTAAGCCAGAGAAGAAATTTCAGGGCCATAAACCTTACACAAGAAGTTGCTTTATACAGAGTCAGACCATTGGTCCACCTAACTCAGTATTACCTATACTGACCAAAAGTGTCTCTTCAGGGTTTGGGGCAGGGGTCTTTGCGTGGACAGACGGAGACCCCCCCAACCCCAGGTGACCCCCGAGCAGAATAATGACTCAAGACAACGTGCTGTGGGATTAAAATTGGCCACAACTTTATTAAGCTTCAGATGTAGGAAGACCTTGGCTCAGGCAATGGGCATTTATCCTTCCCAGTCCCCAGCCTGGGATCTGGGAGACTTCAGGGTTATCCAGAATGTGTGGGGATTGGGCTGGCTCTGGAGAACATATGTTCAAACAGAGAGCCTGCCCCCCGCTTCGCTGCCGTTGGAGGGGAGAGCAGTGACAACCTCTCGGTGTATGGCCAATGCCTCCCCTCAAGACCCCTTTAACGGGGAACCCTGGTATCACCGCCGCAAGGGGGGCATGGGTCACCACTTCACACCCACCCACACCCAATTAGGAAGATAGACTAAAGGATTCCACCCAAGGCCTGAAACTGCCAAAGTTGTGACATATTGCTATGGGAAAGGCAAAACCTGCCAATGCAGGAAAATTCCTTTCCGGTCCTTCAGCAGCGACCTTGACGTAGCAGCACCTGTGTACCTGCGGAGAAGAGGTTAACCTGCAAAAGAAGACGTAACTGAGGGAGGGGAGGGTGGGAGAAGCTCTGGAGCTGACTGCCGCTTCACAGGTAAGATTCACCTTCTGTTGTGCGGGCAGGACAGTCCCTCCCCTTACCTGGCCAATCCCCTGGCGGGATTGGGCGATTGGCTGAGGTAGGCGAAGACCTCCAGGTATCCAGCCTGGGGAGGATGAAGTCAGCCCGAACTATCAGGAGTTCCACTGGGATCCGGGGGGCTGCGCGCTACCATGCAAAAGGCCCCCCCATTTGATGTGGGGAGCAGTCATTCTCCCAGTCTTAACTGGAGAAGCCAGGAACTGAACCTGGGACCGTCTGTGTGCAAAGTGGATGCTCCACCCAATGAGCGACAGTCCTTCCTTCACCTTGTATTTGAGTTGAGTATAATAAGCCACCGAAATTCATATTTTACATGGCTAAGCCGTGTAAAACATGATGGAACAAGCCAGTTCACTTGGAGCTCTCTGTGGTGCTGAAGGACCCACTTGCCTGCCTTGCCACCATGTTCTCGCCATACCCTGGCCAAGGATCTGCTTTGCGTCTGCATCCAGCCTCTGAACTGCTTTGCCAGCAGCTGTGCCTCTCTTCCAGCTGCTTTGTTAGATAGCAATTCACCTCTCGCTTATTTTGTTTGATGGTCACATAATCCCAGTTAATCAATTGACTCGTGAAAGAGCCACAACAACTTGAAAATCGTTAACAACCAAGAGGGAAAAAGGCCAGAATCCGCCTGACAAATTAATCTTACTGGGGCAGGTGGACCGATTTCTAACGGAGGCTGAGTATAAATTACTCAGCAGTAATTTTAGATGCTGTTAAATAATTTTTTTAAAAAATTAAAAGAAACCGTCCCTCCCATTGTTGCAAAGCTAATCCAATGACACAGTATGGGGCAAGGAATTGTTGGGCTTATTGCTGTCATTTGTTTCTTAATGCCTCATCACTCTGAGTTTTATGAGACACCAGGCAACAAAATGTTAATAAACTTTATGAGCAATGTTCCATGCGATACGGGGTTTGCTGTGTTTTTCACGTTGTAAGTATAATTGCAATAGCTGAGGGTCGACCAAAACCACAAGAAATGCTAGAAGAATTAAAGAATAAAGAAAGGTAGGAATGAAGAAGGATTTAGCAAAGACTAAGGTAATGTTTAGGAAGGGGAATGATATACAATTAGACAGTAAAGTAATAGAGGAAGATGAAAGATACATCTATTTAGGACAAAAAAAAAGTCATACCAGGAAGAGAAAATGAAACAATGGAAATAAAGAGAAGAAATAAAGACCAGGACAATCATGGTTGGCCTTTGAAAAAGTCAGCTTTCTAAAGAAAAATGAAAATTAAAAAAGAATCTTAGACATGAAAGCTAAAGTTTTCAACATGTGAATATTACCTTTGTTGTGTTATGGACCAGAGAACTGAACACAGAGAAACATGAATGAAATAAGAATCACGCCACATGCCACGGAACTCTCAATGTTAAGAATATAGTGAAAAGATAGAAAAGCTACTAATAATAAAGAGAGAGAGTTATGGATGTAGTGGGAAAGGCCATGAATTTTAAATGGACAACTGAAGGACTTGTGGCAAGAGGCAACTCAGGACAATGGAGTAAAGCAATGTTAGTAGGGAGCCCCTGCAATCTGAAAAGACTAAAGGGATGGCCCCCTGTGCTATGGGGTGGATGATCTAAAACTAGCATCAGGGCTCATGTGGATGCAGGAAGCAAACATCAGGAAGTGATGGAGAAAAGAGGCATATATCCCAGGATAGATACTGGATGGAGGAGGAGGAAGAAGAAGATCTGATAAAAGGAGAATGGTTAAAGGGGCCTCCCAACTTCTGTGCATATAGCCAGATTCTCCATAATGTCCTTGCTTGCAAGAACATTTTGGAACAGGTGGGACTCAAGTACAGTGGTACCTCGGGTTACAGATGCTTCAGGTTACAGATGCTTCAGGTTACAGACTCCACTAACCCAGAAATAGTGCTTCAGGTTAAGAACTATGCTTCAGGATGAGAACAGAAATCGTGCTCCGGCAGTGTGGCGGCAGCAGGAGGCCCCATTAGCTAAAGTGATGCTTCAGGTTAAGAGCAGTTTCAGGTTAAGAACAGACCTCCGGAACGAATTAAGTACTTAACCTGAGGTACCACTGTCATCATTTCCATTGTTCATTTCAAGTCTTGCTAGATATATAGGGGAGGAATCTCCAAAGGTGATGGCTTGTAGGAACAGAGGAAGCCTCCATATGCCGAGTCAGGCCCATCAGCCCATCTAGCTCAGTGCTGTCTACGCCAGAGCATAGCTGTCAACTTTTCCCTTTTCTTGCGAGGAATCCTATTCGGAATAAGGGAATTTCCCTTTAAAAAAGGGAAACGTTGAAAGCTATGTCCCAGAGCTTTCCAAACTTTTCATGTTGGTGACACACTTTTTAGATGTGCATTATTTCATGCCTGGGATGCGGGTGGCACTGTGGTTAAACCACAGAGCCTAGGACTTGCCGATCAGAAAGTCGGTGGTTCAAATCCCTGCGACAGGGTGAGCTCCCATTGCTCGGTCCCTGCTCCTGCCAACCTAGCAGTTCGAAAGCACGTCAAAGTGCAAGTAGATAAATAGGTACCACTCCGGCGGGAAGGTAAACGGCGTCTCCGTGCGCTGCTTTGGTTCCCCAGAAGCGGCTTAGTCATGCTGGCCACATGACCCAGAAGCTGTATGCCGGCTCCCTCGGCCAATAAAGCGAGATGAGCGCCGCAACCCCAGAGTCGGCCACGACTGGACCTGATGGTCAGGGGTCCCTTTACCTTTACCTTATTTCATGACACAGTAATTCCATTTTACTAGCAAACCAGCGGGCTGCCCACTCCCTTTCCAGCCCCAGTGGGAGGAATGTGGGGAGCGTTAGCATGGCAAACCTACACACTACAGCTGATACACTACCGTGTTGCGACACACGGTTTGGAAAGCTCTGGTTTACACCGATTGACATTCCCCTCTGGACTCAGTAGAGGTCCAGATTTATGGTGCCTCAATTCCTAAAGAGCATGTTTTGTGGTGAAACTTCATAAGACTGACAGTGATGGTGCAGTGGTTAGAGCATTTGACCAGGGCCCAGGAGACGAGGGTTGAAATCCACACTCAGCCATAAAGTTCACTGGGTGACTTTGGGCTAGCCTCTGTTTCTCACTCTAATATAGGAACAAAGGAAACTGCCATATGCCAAGCCCCTGCAACCTTCCCCGGTTCGAAGCACATGCAAGGCAATTGGCCTTGATTCAAAACATGCAGACTGGGCCCAACAGACCTGATACAGATGAGAGCTGGGACACCAGGTACACGCCGCCACTAAAACACACACTTTAATTTCTGTGCTACTTTCATCTTCCAAATTCCAGTGCAACTAGGAGAATCTCCAAAGGGTATTCCAGAACTGGAGCATATGTGTTTTAGAGCATTTAGACCATGGGTCAGCAAACTAAGCCCCGCGGGCCAGATCAGGCCCAATTGCCTTCTAGATCCGGTCCGCGGATGGTCCAGGAATTGCTGTGTGGATTGTCAGTGTGTGTGGTCTTTCCCTCTCCCTCCCTCTCCCTCACACAGCGGCGCTTTTCTCCTCAGGGATGGATCAACCTTGTCCCACACCGGGCACCGTTGATGGCGGGAGTCGGCTCGCCCGCCTGCCCACCTCAGCAGGGTGGCACTATGAAGGGGGCATGTGACAATGGCTGCCAGTTGCTTCTGTCATTTCCTCCTGCTCCTCCTCCCTCTCCCTCAGTCCGCCCTTCCTTCCTTCTCTGCACCCCTTTTCCCCCCTGCTTCCTCGCACGCTTTCTTCGTCACCGCCTGCCTGCCTGCCTCCTTCATTCCTCCCATGGCATTCAGGCAGGTTGTTGCAGTGGCCACGGCTGCTGCTTGCGGGTTGGCGGGCAACTCTGTCTTCTTCTCCACGGTGCCTCTCAGGAAGCAGCAGCAGCAGGTGGTGGTGGGTAAAAGCTCTAGCGACGCCCCGGTTCCCCTACCTCCATTTATGGCTCCTCCGCCGGGGCTGCTGCTTCTGTCTTCGCCGGCCAACGCAACCTCCTACCCTGCCATGGCGCCTGGCTGGCTGAAGAAGCCCAACTGCGTCTATTGGGACGACAGCTGGGACAGGTAAAGTGAAGCATCTTCAGGCCTCTTTGCGGGCAGGCGAAAATCGTTCAATTTCCCCCAAAAAATATAGTCTGGCCCCCCACAAGGTCTGAGGAACAGTGAACCGGCCCCTTGCTGAAAAAGTTTGCTGACATCAGCTGCAAAAAAAAAGGGGGGGGTCATACAAATTTCACACAGAAGCATATTATTGCTCACTTCAACTCGCCTGTGGAAACAGCTCAGGCCATGAAAGAAGGAAGGATAACAACAGGAAGAATTAAAGAAGGAACTATTGGAAACTTAAGGCAGTAGAAACTTAAGATGATTGGACCCCACTGAAGCATGGGAAGCCCCAACAAAAATTTATAATTTGGCAAAATATTTGGACTATATGATATGTATTTGTATAATTTGGAGTACTTAATGTGATCTGATTGGATTTAATGTGATCTGAATGGAAAACTTAATAAAAAAATTTTTTTTAAAAAAAAAGTTTGCTGACCCCTGTTTTAGACCTTTTGCATCTCTCCACTCATGTACTGATGTGCATCTGATAAAATGTCTTCCATGACCATATGTACAATTGCATTAAGTTGCAGTGCGTGGAGTCTGTTTTGATCGATGCACAGAGGCACACATGCACCTGCATAGAACGCAGCTCCAGAAGGTATTTGTATGCCATCCTATACCTGCAGTCCCATCGATCCCATCTTTTGTATGCACATTGTTACCACGCAGGAGGGAAAGATACAAAATGGAAATGGAGAGAACTCTGCAAAATTCACACACTGCGCGTCTTGCCATTTGCATAGCGCTTTCAATTGTTCAGAGTGCTTCTTGTGCATTATCTGGCTGAAATATTGGAGGCAGGAGGTACACTGAGAAAAAAGGCAGCTCATCTCCAGGAGAGGAGCTAAACGTTTTGCACAATGCTGGGATGAGAGGCCTCCTCATCTTAGGAGAGATGCCCAGCTCAGGCCAGGAAAGAATGACTGATGGATGGGAGTTCACCTACCCCCAGTCTCCCTGGTGTCCCAGCTCCTACCAACCTAGCAGTTCGAAAGCACACCAATGCAAGTAGATAAATCGGTACCATTCTGGCGGGACGGTAGACGGCATATCCGTGCACTCTGGTTTCCATCATGGTGTCCCGTTGCACCAGAAACGATTTTGTCCTGCTGGCCACATGATCCGGAAAGCTGTCTGTGGACAAACGCCGGCTCCCTCAGCCTGAAAGCAAGATGAGCGCTGGAACCCCATAGTCGCCTTTGACTGGACTTAACTGTCCAGGGGTCTTTTACCTTCTTCTTTTTTTACCTTACCTTGCAATATGTAGAGGGGTACAGATAGGGATGGAAAGTATCCGTCCATTTCAGATCTCTGAGTTTCACTCCCCACCCCCGCAAATCCTAAATACAGTTCTCCCCATTTTTGCAGCATTTTGCCATCTGTTTTTCTTATAAGCAGGTTCTCATGAAAATTCATCAGCATTTTAGCGCAAATTTCTCTGGATAAACACTTTTTTTGTTTTGTTTCTATTTACTTACTGTATCACATTCATCCCCCCCCCCACACACCTTTTTCCTGCAAGAAGTGAGATGTGGTATACATGTTTCTCTCTTCGCTCCCCATTTTATCCTTACAACCACCCTGTTAGGTAGGCTAATAATAATAATAATAATAAATTTATTTATATCCCGCCCTCCCCAGCCGAAGCCGGGCTCAGAGCGGCTAACAACAGTAAAATGATAAAACATTCTAAAATCATTTCATTGTAAAATTAATTCCAATCAAATTAATGGCAACCATTGGGCTAGAAGTTCTGTGAGGATTGCCAAAGGAGGGAGTCAGACTGTGCCTTGGCCAAAGGCCTGGTGGAACAGCTCTGTCTTGCAGGCCCTGCGGAAAGATGTGAAGTCCCGCAGGGCCCTAGTCTCTTGTGACAGAGCGTTCCACCAGATCGGAGCCACAGCCGAAAAAGCCCTGGCTCTAGTTGAGGCCAGCCTAACCTCTCTGTGGCCTGGGACCTGCAAGATGTTTTTGTTTGAAGACCATAAGGCTAGTCTCAGGGGCAGTGATTGGCCCAAGGTCACAGCCAGTGAGCTTTGTGGCAGAGTGGGGACTAGAACTCTGGTGTCCCAGCTCTCAGCCTAACCTACCTCACAGGGTTGTTGTGGGGTTTAAATGAGGAGGAAAAGAATTCATGTACGCCACCTTGAATTCCTCAGAGGAAAAGGCGGGATATAAATGTGATAAATAAATACATTCTGCAACCAGAGACATCTGAATTTACATCCCTACAGGTTTGATGCTCAAGGATCTGCACACCAACAAGGTCATGTTGAACATTTCTCTACTCAAAAACTTTGATTGCCACGGTGTTATATATTTAGTCTTTATTCTGCACTGGAATTTGAAAGATTTGTAGTGAGTGACTCCTTGCCGAATCAATAGAATCTTCTGCACCACCCCTGGTTTGGACTTTGCATTGATCATTCTCAGGCTGCAAAGGAGCAGGGCTGGGGCGGGCTGGGGAGAGGTGATAAGCAATGCTATATCCTCAGCAAAACTAATGCAGCCTAATTTTCTTTTAGTGGAAATTTTGCATATTGACAGTCATTGCCTTTCAGGTTACTCTGATCTCATACCCTCCAAGTGTCCCTATTTTCTAGGGACAGTCCCAGAATTATGGTTCCTGCCCTGGTTTCTGATTTGATACCGGAATGTCTCAGTTTCCCTTACTCCTCCCTTCCATGTCTTGGAGAACAATTAAAAGTGGTGTTTGTGTAGGTGCAAAAACAAAGTCCTGTTTATACTGAAAATTGCATTTCCAAATGAAGGAAATGGTGAAGCTGGCATATGAAACCTTTCCTATAATTTTGAAATTGTTTCGTTGCAATGCTTCAGCAGCCAGCATTTTTTAAGGAAACATGTGGAGTGCTTATTCCTTTATTGTAAATGGAGTCTCACACTGTCTACTGAGAAGTAAGTCCCATTGTATTCAATGGAACTTGCTCCCAGGTAACTGGGGAAAAGACTGTGTAGCCTTACACTTCAATCCTAAGCATTTTTACTCAAAAGTAAGTTCTACTGAAGGGATGTGGGTGGAACTGTGGTCTAAACCACAGAGCCTAGGACTTGCCGATCAGGAGGTCGATGGTTCGAATCCCTGCGACAGGGTGAGCTCCTGTTGCTCGGTCCCTGCTCCTGCCAACCTAGCAGTTCAAAAGCAAGTCAAGTGCAAGTAGATAAGTAGGTACTACTCCGGCGGGAAGGTAAGTGATGCCAATAAAGGTTTAGATACCTATTAGGTCCATAAATTACCATATAGCATACATTCAACACAAAAAACAGCAACAGTTTGTTGTTGACAAAGGACAGCTGGGCATATAAATGGCACCATTACCTTCAGTAGCTTAGGGCCTCATCAAACCTAAATCCGGCCCTGGTTGCCATCCTGTGTTGTGTACCCACACTGGCTGAATCCTTGCCACATAAAAAGACCATACTTTCCCACTTAGCACCGACACACCGAATCCCATTTGTGTCTTAATCTGCTTGAGATGGGATAAGATAGCATTTAATGAGAGCCCAGGATCCTTGGTGGAGCAGGGCGGGCAGAGGAAAAACCAAATATTAACATCAAGCAGCCATGTTAACCGGAATGTCCACAATGAATTTTTCAGTGCCAAATGAAGTTCATTTGCCCAAGTCCTCATGCTTAAAAAAGAAGAAGAAAAAAGCCAGACCCTTACAACTTTTGGAGATTAAACTTGCAGGTATTAACGGAAGTGCGAAAAAGTGCTTGAGTAATCAAGTTAAGTGTGTGGCGGGGACGTTCCCTCCTTGCCGTCCCTTCCCTAAACAAACCTGAATCTTTCTCCCAGCCATGAATATTTCAACTTTGAGGAGCTGCCTCGTTAATTATTAATTAAAAGCACACTGGAGACACTTTCCTGATTGTTTTAACTAATGAGGAGCGATCAGGCCCATTCCCTGCCTTCCTTGACCTCCCTGCCCTCTCCCACTACATCTTTTCTACCTGTGAATGAGCTCACTCTACAAAACGCCTGGTCTTTCTAGGTAGTACGTATGCCAGGAGGGCAAAGGTTGCAGCCTTTCCCACTGTAAGCCCTTGTTGCATGTAGGAAGGCAATCCTGCATTGTATTTGCATAATTACCACCTACTGTTCTAATTGCTGATGGATTACAAACCCACCAGGCAACAGCTTGAGTTCCCACTTCTCTCAGGAAGTATCTCTGTGAGCAATTTAGCAGAAAGCGAAAATATTTTCAGATGTTTGTGGAAGCGTGAAGTGTGGGACAATAAGAGGGGTGTTTTTCAGAGGAGAGTCTGCAAGCTGCAACATTATCCTTATTAGTAATGTTGGTAAGAATAGCATCATCATCATCTCTGTTTACATTCCACCTTCCCTCCAAGGAGTTCAAGGAAACATACAACACACAACAATTACACAATTACATAAAATGGAAATGGAAAATGAAACAACAACAGAGAATCGTGACCAAACACACCAACAAAAAGTGTACATGCTAAAGCCATCACAGTTTTAATAATAATGTACAGTAACATCCATTGCCTGGCTATATTGTATCAGCAGCAGTTAGGGAGTTTATATAAAAGAAAGAAAAAAAGAAAAAAAATTAAAATATGTGCCAAACTGTGCTGCAGACTGTAGGTACTGTTTCACCACATGCCTCGTTGTTTGTGTAATTGACAGTTTTCCCCAGACTGCATAAAAATTGTCGCCTCGACAATTTTATGTTCACAACAACCTTGTGAGGTAGGTTAGACTGGGAGGTTGTGGGTGGACCAAGGTCTTCCAGTGAACTCCACGACTGAGAGAGAGATTGAATACAGAACTCCCAAGGTCTAGTTCAATATTCTGACCACTAAGTCATATTGGCCCTACAAAGAGACCTTATGCAACCCAGTCAAAGCATGCATATTTCTTTATACAATTGTCTACACTGGGAGGCCAAAAGGACTAAATCTGCAA